AGAAGGACAGGGACACCCCAAGAGGAGCGGAGACACCCCCAGCCCTAAGGGGGATCCTAATTCTGCCAGGGAAAAGCCCGAGAGCCCCCAGCTAAGGGGGGACAGTGAGGGTCAGGGGGTGTCACAGGGGACCCCCAACCCCTCCCGGGGCACCGGGGGAGTCAAACCCAGCCGGGACCCCCAAACCGGGACGGGGAACACCGCAAGCCCAAACCAGGAAGCACGGGGGAGCCTCAACGCCCCGGCGGGACCCCAAACCCTCGGGGCACCCCCCGTGTCCTTGGACATGTCAGGGGAGTGCCCCCTCCCTTCACCCCTGGGGTACCCCCATGGACCCGCTCCCCCCGGGACCCCCGGAACAGCCGCCCCCGCGTCACCCACAGCGGACACCCCGGTGTGCCGCGCACCGCGGGAGCCACGGCAGCCCCGAGAAGAGCCGGATCTCCCCGCCGTGACCCCGGCCCGGTGTCCCCGGTGCACCCCAACCCCGTACCTGCGCTCCAATCCCACCGCCCCCGCCCTCCCGTCCCGCTGCCGCCTTTTGACGGGAACCGGCGCCCCAAGCCCCGCCCCCTCCCGCTATGACCACGCCCCTTCCCGCTCCCGCCCCGCCAATGCCAGCGCGGCAGCGCCTCGGCCACGCCCACCGGCTCCACATAAGGGCAGTGCCGGGTGTGGCCACGCCCACCGGGGCGTGGCGGGAAATCGCACGTGGCCCCTCCGGTAGCGCGGGGGTTCCCCGGTTCGGCCGCTCCGGTTTGCCGGGGCTTCCCCGCTGACCACCGGACCGCGCTGCCCGCCCGCTCCCCTCTGGCCACCGGACTCCGCTGCCCACCCGGCCGCCTCTCCCACACCCAGGACCGCCCGGGGTGGCTGCAGGGGCTCTTGGGGTCCCCTCTGGCACTTTGGGGGCTGCCACCCCTACAGAAAGCCCGGTGGGCTCGGGCGGCTGATCCGGCTCCCAGTTGAATGCGCAGTGTCGCACTGGGACAGGACAAACGCCACCAGTGTCAGGGCCCGCAGCACTCCTGTCTCTTCTCAGGCTTCAGCTGCTCCCGTTGTCCCCATAGAGCCCCGGGGCTAGGCACCCCGAGAGTGATCCAAGCCCGGGACACCGGGATTTGGCTGCTCCTGAGGGACGTGGTGCTGTTTGGGACAAAGCAAGAACCGACCTTGACCATCYAAAATCCCTTTATCGGTGACTTGGAATGTGGGATTTTGGGCAGAACCTGCTCAATCCAACCCAAACATGCTCCGCTGCCCGGACACGCTGTATCCCCGGTCAAAAAAAAATCTGAATATTCGGCAATTTTCCCCTTTTCCATCCTCAAACCCCCAGCCGGGATGCAGCCACCTGCAACAGKGAATAAACCAGTGAGAAACGCTCCCAGAAAAGCCCTTTCTGCTGCTCCCGGGGTTTATCCGGTATTCTCTAAACCCAAAATCCCGGGAGCAAATGAGCCCCCGGCGCAGAGGAGCCCCCGCAGCCGCGAGCGCCGGGTTCAGCCGCTGCGGTTTGCGTGGGGAAAACGCTTCCAAATTGTCTTTAAATTGCTTTAATGAGGCCGAGGAGGGGAAAACAATGTCTGGGAAGAAATGGGAGCTCATTAGAGGCAATTTGGTGGCGCGGAGGGATTTTGGGAGGGTGGGAGTGGGGTGGCTTTGCCTGGAGAAGCTGCATCCCCAGTCCCGGTGTTTTTGGGATTGCAGCTCTTTCCAGGCCAAAAAATGTTCCAAAATCTCCCAAAGCATTTCCCCACTGACCTGGCTGTGCCCAGAGCAGCGTGACACGTATCCCATTAAAATGTGCTGCTAGTCCAACTTTTTTTTTTTTTTTTTTTTTTTTTTTTTTTTTTCCACAGGGAGCTCTGGGGAAAAATTGTGGCCAATGAGGGGTTTAAATTCTCTCCCTCTCTCTTGATTTCTTGCTGCTTTTTTGCCCTCCATCCACCTGGCATGAGGGGTTTGGGGTTAAATCCTCCCTCTGTCCTGCTCRTTTTCCCATCCCAGGGACTGCAGGGATCCAGGGGTGTGCGGGGAATGCAGGAGGATTCAATTCCTGCATGGAAATTCCAAGAAA